CTGGTTGGGCAGAAAGGAGATGAAAAATACCCAAAAGCAGCCGGAAAGAGGGAGGCGCAGATTGCCAATTAACACTTCAATCAAAGGAAAGGCCCGATCAAAACCTTTTTCCTCCATTAAGAAACATCCCCCCTTTTTACTATATACTGCAATCAAGCGAGCATGCTTTAGACTAAGAGTCAAGAGAATAATCCCAATACCGGTAAAGCCTGCAGAAATCATTTTTTTCCACACTGACACCCCAGGCAAAATAAATAAATAAATTAATAGTAGCGCAGAACATCAGCGCCGTGGCAGTCATTCCAGCAGTCACACCTCCTCTGTGTCAGCTATAGGAAAGCTGCAGCACAGGCCAGCATCTCCCAACCTGTGCACTTCTTCATGGACAGATTTGCATCATGCAGACCCTCAGATTGCCCAGGAAAAACAAAACTGCTATGCCCAGAAAGAGCGTGGAAGCTCCAAGAAGTTAGCTGCCTGCTGGACAGAGCCCATCTACACCTGGAACAAGCAGGCATCTCTCTGTGCTGCCAGTGCTGGATGAAGAGAGCTGTGCAGCAGCTCCTCCCTAAACACTGGCTAGCTTATGACACCAGCCCTGCGGTTCCTGTGGCAGCTCCTGCAGTTCTGCAACTACGTGAGTCTGGCTGGCAGGCCACCTGTTTGTTTCCATATCAGCAGGAGCCACGTGCACCATGGGCAGGAGGCCTCCAGGCAGGTAAAAAAAACCAAACAAAAACATTTCTTAATTATAGAGGCAGAGGAAGGCTGGATATGAACAAACAAAACCATACCAAAACAAGTGCATGTGTAAAGAGGGGGAAAAAAAAAAATCACAGCTTTGCAGTTTATGTTCAGAGCAAATCAAGGCTGTGATTAATTCATTACACATCAGAATTCCAAGCCACTGCAACTGGCATTATGAATAGCACGCTTGAAAAACACCCAGGTAGCTTTCCAGATTCACAGAATAGAATCACAGAATGGCCTGAGTTGAAAAGGACCACTAGTTTCAACCCCCCTGCTATATGCAGGGTCACCAACCAGCAGACCAGGCTGCTCAGAGCCACATCCAGCCTGGCCTTGAATGCCTCCAGGAATGGGGCATCCACAACCTCCTTGGGCAACCTGTTTCAAAATGTTACACTCTCTAACATCTCACCACAACATAATAATGAAAAAATATTTAAAAAATCCTTGACAGGCAGGAACTTCCTGGCTGCAGCCCATGCTCCAGCCTTCAGGCAGTAGAGGGAAATTATCATAGTTGGAATTTTCATTTTTTTCCCCTAGCTTTCAAGTAGGCAAATAATTCACTTGTCTCTTCCAGAGCTCAAATCACTGCTGTATGTAACAGTTTCCATTTGCCATTTTTATTTCCTCTGTGAAATGGTGATATTTATAGCAACTTTCTTGGTCAACTCGTGATTGCTACGGTTCTTGCAACCACATTACCAGAACAGTAGCAAAAGGTGACTGCTCCAGCACCGGTTTTTGTAACCCATTACCCGTAGACACTCATCTGCCTACAGTAGTATGAGTCAGTGGAAATTACTGTTTATAGTTTACAGACCACATGTGACACTGAGCATGTTTGAAAGCAAAGTCCCTGCCTTGAATAGCTGAGATTTAAATTAGCTGAGGCAGCAGAGGAGGAGGGAGGGCAAGCAAAAGCAGGTCTTGCCAATCCATGGCACAGTGCCTGGTGATAGGTCAGCAAGCAGGAAAGAGAACCCAACCCTGGCTTCATTATCAACATCAGGCCTATGCTCAGGTGCCCGTGACTTATTTCCTGGAGAAGTCTCAAAACATGACCAACACCTGTTTGGATTTCTAGGAGAGAGCTTAGTGCCTGCTATGATGCAGGTAGGATATTGATATTTATTTTCATGACTAGTGCCTGACACATCCAAATAAGTTAGCTGTAAAATGTCTAGTATTCCTGTAAAAGAACGTAGCAGATTCTGCACATGGCAGGTACCATGCATAGATGGCACCAACAGATGGATGTTGGCTTCCTCACATACTGAGCTGTTGTGGAGTTGCTCTGATGAAGGAGAGAAGCATTTGCGAGCATTCATTCATGGAGCTGGAGTCACCTAAGCAGGTAACAGATGCAAAGGCGGGAGTGTTCAAGTGACCTTGGCAGGCCTGAGCAGGTGAACCTCATGAAGTCCAACAGACCCAAATGCAAGATCTGGCACCCAGGCTGAAGCAGTTCCCACAACCAATACAAGCTAGAGGATGAAGGGACTGAGGGCAGCCCTGCTGAAAAAGATGCGGGGCTACTGGTGGACGGGAAGCTGGACATGAGCCAGCAATGTACCCTCACAGCCCAGAAAGCCAACCATGTCCTGGGCTGCATCAAAAGAAGTGTGGGCAGCAGGTCGAGGGAGCTGCTTCTGCCCCTCTGCTTTGTGATGGTGAGGCCTCACGTGAAATACTGCATCCAGATGTGGAGTCCTCCTACAGGAGAGACCCAGACCTGCTGGACTGCGTCCAGAGGAGGGCCACAGAAATGATCCATGGAACAGAACAGCTCTCCTATGAGGACAGGCTGGGCATGAGAGAGCTGGGGCTGTTCAGCCTGGAGGAGAGGAGAAGGCTGTGAGATGACCCGATAGCAACCTTGCAGTATCTAAAAGGGGACTAAAAGAAAGAAGGGGACAGACTTTTTAGCAGGGTCTGGTGTGACAGGAGAAGGGAAATGGTTTCAAGCTCAAAGAGGGAAGATTTAGGTTAGATACAAGGATAAATTTTTTTACAGTGAGGATAGTGAGGCACTGAAACCCAGTGCTGTGGTTGAAGCCCCCATCCCCTGAGACTTCAAGGCGAGGCTGGATCAGGACCTGGGCAACCTGATCTAGCTGTCGTGTCCCTGTGCACTGCAGGGGAGTTGGACTAGATGACCTTCAGATGTCCCTTCCAACTCCAAAGATTGTGATTCTAGTAAACAGAAAATGTACAAAATAGTGACCTAGTAAAAAATTGACTATTAGAAGGGTGTGTGGGTAGAGATAGGCAGGCAAAACTGTAATTAGGTCAAAGAAAAATAACAGGACAAGCTTATCTAATACCTGGGCTGTCAGTACACAAATGCCAGGACAGAGGATGAACAGGAACGATTAAGAATTTTTACACAGGTAATGATGGTGACAGAGGGTCTGTGGAATAATAATTGAAATATTATTAGTAAAAAGGTATTTTTAAAGAAAAATTGAGGTGAGAGCACAATAGCTACAACATAGACTACCTGCTCAAGAATAAAAAGGAACAGTGGTTTGATAATAATAAAGTTTCTGTTGGAAAAGCAGCACAAACTGTCCATCAAGTGCTTGCAATAGTTTGTGTAAGTTGTGTGAATGGCTCTAAGTCAACCATGATTACTAGGATGAATCTGGTTAAGACAAACACGTTTGGAAGCCAACCATGAAACCACGGCCATCATTCTGGAGGAAGGAAGGAGTGTGCAGCAAAATCAAGGTGCTCCTGCATATTTCAACAATTCAGAGCCATTAAAAAGCTCCCCGTCATGATAATCTTCAGAAATAACGTGAAAAAATACACAGAGCAGATTTTCATTAGGAAAACGTCTAAATAAACACAAAATGTAGATCAAACAGTGGCTAAACAATATTTAAGCAGTTTCTTTGCTTCAGCTGCCATAGAGCAAACTATGCTCAGGCATATCTGACTGACAGGAGCACAAACAAAAACTGATTCAAGGGTATCTGCCCAAACAACATGTGTTCTGCTCCACTCATTATAAAAAAAGCAATCAACTCAACTCTGAAGATTAGTAGTAGTTGAATAATAATAATAAAATCAAAACCAAACAAACCTTACCAATTTCTAAGATAGACAAAACCAACACTTAAATCAGGGAAGGAACAGAACTCTGGATTCAGAGGTTAATCAGGTGACACGGGAAAAGATACAACCAGAGAATTTAATGAGTTTTTCTAACTCGATGAATATGTGTGTTGAGATATGTAATGAGTGACAGAAAATCCAGTGTTAGTCAGTGGGAAGAAACATTTGTGGAGAACAAAGCAAGCATAGATACAACTGATTTAAAAAGTATTTTACCCATAGAAAACATTTTTTCATATTACAGTCAGAGGTAGCAATAGCACTAGAAGTTAGGAAAAAAATGTAGGCCAAGTAGTCAAAGACTAGTCACAGCTGACAGCATGAAAGATATACAAGTCATTTATCCAGTGCTTAGAGGTTCTGGTTATGTAAAGCAAATATAACCTTTAATCAACTATAAACCAGGTAGCACTGTTTAGAGTACATAGGTTGCTCTGAAAGTAATGCCTCCTATTTATTTCCACAGAAACTACAACTGATACAAAGAGTGCAGTAACACTGTTTGACAGAGCATATTCTCAGCTACAAAACACTTCTTTTCAACTCAGTCACAGTTAGCTCTGCATTTTCACCAGCAATGACCGAGAGCCCACATGCTGTGCTCACTGAAATCTGCACCAGTGGAGGTGCCCCACTGAAACTGCTGCTGAAACACACCACCCACTGCCTCACTGTGTTCACATCCATTGCTTGGCCTCCATAAATATTCAGCAAGCATTGATGAATGTCAACAGGTATAATTTTTTCCTGTGTGGAGGAATTCAATGACACACCTCTGCTTCATCTGCACTCCTATGCCAAATGTCATTCTGTCAGACTGCCCCTCTGCTGCCATCTGTTGCACAGCAAGAGCACATAATGGAATATTGGTAGGAAGGTTCAACCACTACTGCCATGCCACCAACATCCGTTTCTGACACCATGGGCTGATATACTAAAATAGGAGGCATTGCCTTTGGAGTAGAACTCGTAGTTTAGATTAACCCTGAAAACTGAAGTAAATGACACCTCCCCCCTGCCTCCCGCAGCCATTTAGCTACATCTTCTGGGATGACTTAGCTAGGAAACTGACAATATATCAACTTATTCTCATTGTACAAAAACAGCAAACCAAAAAGTTACCCTTAGAGCTGCCACATTTCTAACCAGCAGTGTTTATTTGGAATATTTCTAAAAACAACTTGAAACACCAAACAATGTTTCCGTTACAGATGTCGCCCCACAACCGAGCAAGCAGCATGATGCAAGTTAAAACATACAGTATACTTTTCTACGTTAAAGATAAGGGATTACATAGGTTTAGGGAAACCCATCAGACAAACAGACCTACGACAACAACAAAGAAACACATTTCCTGAGAATTTTAAGATTGCCATAAGGACTGTCATTTATAAAGGTCAATTAACAAGTAATTCAGACACTAGCTTCAAACCTCCAGGTGAGAGCCCTGCCAGCCCACTTCTCTCAAGTGTTCACCAGAGGCAACCGAGAACAAACCTGCTGCAACTAAGATAAAGTTTACAAATCACAGTAGCTTGCATCTACACTGGAATTGCCCCGCTTACCCACTGAAAGATCTGCAGCCCACTGAATCACATTCACATTTTCCAGTGCGAGACCAAAGTAAAGCTGTGTAAAACTGAATGCCTTTGGAAAGAACATTTCATTATATTAGTAAACAAAAGCTCAGCACCTTGCAGATGAAAGAATCTGTCTCTAAGTATTTTGTTTAGCTGTCAAACGTAGAAACAAAAATCTACACAAAAGTGATAAATTCTTGAAAGTAACACGGAAGGAATACTCACAGAATATAACTGATATTGTACATTTTACTTCATTTAAGCACAGCAAATTTCACCCATCCTATGATTTATTGGCTACAGAAAAATATGTACATACAGGAAACCCAAACCCATAAAAAGACAATCATCTATGTGCATATGTACACATAACATATGCATATGAAATGTGCAATTTTATTTTAATGCACGTTAAACAAAGCGTATGCACAACAGAGTTGCACAACCATTACAGAACAGTGTTCTGGGTATCCTCATGATGTTTCGCATCTACAGCCAGTGCAAACTTACAAGGCACAAACTCAATGCTGACACTGTAGTGTTGTAAGCTCAGGCACATTTCAATTTGTAGTTCTTCAGAATAATAATCAACAGAAGTGCTACTTTCTGTACTAAAGTGCCAGCCTCTTCCCAAAGATGAAGCATTAAGTTGATGTAACCTGTACGCAATAACGATCAGCGGGGTTCTGAATTAACCTATCACTGCAAAGTCTGTGGCTATATTATGCTATGTGCTCCTCACCTCTGAGACTATGCTGCTTCCCAAAATGCCTCCCCTTACAACCTTACACTCTTTAATAACTACCCATACCTTGCTAGCCTTGACATACAGAATCTTACAGGTACTACTCAATGCTTTTTTCTAACTTTAGCCAAATCTCTGATAAAACCAGATTTAAAAACCCAGCCATCAGGAAATCTTTCACATACTTGCATTTAACGAACCTTTGTTCAATTGCATAGTGGGATGTGTATCAGCTAGTAAAGAGTTAAAAACAAAAGCTTGCTGCTTAAGGCAAAATTTTTAACACAGCACAGCAGAAAAAGCCAAATACCGGGTTCATCAGTATTTAAACAAACCACTGGCTCATACAGTCTTCTCCTCACAGTGTTTTCTTTCATACTTCAACAGCAAACACACAGTATGCTCAATTAGCAAATCTTGTTGCATTTTCCTAAATGAAAGGAGTAATTAACACATAGGCTGGCAGCTATTGAAAACACCTGACCAATCAGAACTCTTGCACCCTCAAAAAAGGGTTTCTTCTTGAGCCTACCAGAAGTTCAAAACTCACTTGTGCCCAGGTCTAACATAATAGCTAAAACTGATCATTTAAAAATTACAAATATTTAATGAGTTGCCACATCACTTTGCTAAAATTGTATTTTCGGTATTATTTTTCAATAGAAGACATTTAATAGACATCTGAAGAAAACAATACAATATAAAAGTGTAAGGGTCTTTGCAAACAGATCTTCTATTCCTCCTGCAAAGTAAGAAAGGAGAGTTTATTGGCATTTATTTGGAGTGCCACTGATAAGGACATGAGAATACTTAAGAAAGCAAAAGTTCTAATGATCCACAGACATCTTTGGCTTAGCCTTCCTGACCAAAGTCTTCTGTAAATTTCTTTAACTTCTCCAGGTCCTGCTCATTAACTGTTGGCTTTGTGCTAGCTAGTGAGCTGAGCATATCAGCCTGTGGGAAAGAAAGCAAGAAAACACGGGTTCAGAAAACATACCACTGCTAACAATATTGCTGTGAAGAAAAGTAAGCTTTAAAAAGCCTTTTAAAACAAGTGGACTGTAGGAACTCTTATTTAAACAAAACTTTGATTAAGCCTGAACATTTCTGTACATGGGTCACTTTTTAACTTCCTAAAGACAGACAATTAGTGAGTTTTTCAGGAATTAAGCCACAATCTGAGGTTTAGCTTTAAAACAATTCATCCATTCAGCAAGTGTTATTCACCACTGCTTACTGCAACAAACTGAGCTTCCCATCTTTCAGATACACATTTCAATACACTTCTAAGGACATCAGTTTAAAGTGGAAAACAATCACACGTTTCCACATATTCTTCAGTGTCCACCAACAAAGAATATTTCATTACTGATCTCCAGCAAAGTTTTACTGCTCATGACTGGTAACTTCTGTTTCTTCAGCTCAGCCACCTTCTTATGTTTATGTTTGGCTACGTTTGGCTTCATCAAGAAAATGGAGGAGTTTGGAAAAAAATCACAAAGGTGTGAACTGAAAATCAGCAGTTAAGAAACCTTGTTAAAAAAAAATTTGTAAGAAAAGTCCTGGCCAAAGGCAAATTAAATGAGAAGATGCTCAACATCTCATGTCACTATAAAAGCACAGGTTAAGTTAAAAGTCAACATCGTGATTTTCTAGACTTTCTCAACTCATCATACAACAGATGCCCTGCTTAGGAAGAATTGAAGTCCGATCTTTTTAATGACAAGGACTGATTTTGGACTCTGAAACAAGCCCCTGTGCAACATAGCACATCGGAGCCTACATTCCATTAGGAGCATTGAAGGAATTGTATTTAACTCCAGGAAAGACTGATGAAAAATTCACATAGTTTACACAGGCAGAAGTTTTAAGGCAGGCCTGCACTTGTTCACATCTTTTTGTGCTTCCTTCTGTGTGCAAATATGCACGGATATTTCTCTCCTCAAATATAGTGATGGTTACATGTACGAAGCAGTGCATTCTATTTAGAGGTTTGTGATCCTTATGCAACACACCTTCCTTTCATTCATTATGGAAACATTTGCTTACAGGAATAGACATCAGCACAGATTTGATATCAAGTCTTTCCTTCAAATAAAGCACTTATTCAGAATCTTTTGCTGGTTGCGGATAAAATACAGAACAAGAGCTCAGCAATTTGTAATTTTTAAGCAATAAATTTCAATTTGTCTCAAATATGATGTTTTATTCTTTAAACAAAAGCAAATATTTTAACATACACAAAAAAATCCATTTGAAAGCTAGTGAGAGCTAGCTGCATTATCTGTGATGAAGTATGATCCAAACTACCATTACATCCATAAGCATTTTACATTGTATTGGTTACACTTGCATTTCTTTTCTGGGCAAAATTTACCTACAGCAGATTATTCTCAATTTACACTAAATATAATTTCCCACTTCTCAGTGTCAATAATAATGCTATAGAGCAAAGAGAAAGTGACATATCATGGGGCAGGAATTCTGAAGGTTTTGAATGAATAAAAGAAGAATTAAAGAAGGGAGGAAGGGTCAGGTGCTGTTTATACTGCATGCCACTAGACAATAACAAACGCTTATCAGGGATGGAGAGCTGGCTTGCTGATAAACATACTGTATTGTCGTGCTGTGTGTTGAGATTGAAATGTCATCTGGTATGTCCAAGCATGTCTGAAAACAAATGGCTAAGCCAACTGGCTTGCATGCTGGCTCTAAAAAATCTTGATATTCTCAGGATTCTGCAAAGCAAGAAGCACCACACACACACAAAAAAACAAACAAAAAACCTACCATGGAAACTTTAGGCTCCAGTAATTTATCTCCTGGAACATCCATCCATGTCATTTCTTCAGCTTCAGGATCACCTGGAGAGCAAGGGGTGAACAAATCTACCATGATATTTGGATTCGACACTGATGGTCCTTTTACCTAATAAATAAATACATAAATAAATAAACAAACTGAAGCTGAAAATCTTTAGAGCAAAAGCATTCCCTTCATTTTCTGTAGATGCCCCACCCATAGGAAAGTCTTATCCAGTGAAGTGGAATTGTGTAAAGGTGCTGGCATCATTCACTGGGAAACACACAGCAGCAGTCAGATATTTGAACTCACACCATGTCAGAACCAATGAATCTTTAAGGTAGGAGTGTCTGTAGAAAGCTAATGTGTCAGGACTGCTGTTTGGGGAAGACCACTCTCTTCTTAGTCCTAGGTCACTCTGGGAGTCCATTCACCACTGGTTAACATTTCTAAAGAATTCTCAGTAGTTACTGCTGAGTGTCCCTCAAGTTAGGCAGCCATGGATGTCCTTTTAAGCTTTTACTTACTCCACTACAAAGCTGTGGGCACCTTTTTGGACACAATCTCAAACAGCGCTTGATAGAAAATGGGGCCATCTAGCGGGAGAACAGAAACCATCCTTTTTTTCCAGATACGCGGACAGAACCTCAATAGCTGCATGAGCTGCCTCTTATCTTTTCACAATGCGTATCTAGGAGCTGTAGTTCTACCATCCTTCGTCAGCCAGTGAAGTACCATACATCTCCATGAACACAGAACATATGCAAAGATCAAAAACAACTGTTTCTTTTTAACAGCAGAGAACTGGATTTGCTGTTCCAATCTGCTTTTAAAGAACAGGGAGGAAAAACAAGGATTATAACATTAGAAACTCACTTGGACAACCCAATATCAATCAGCTGCAACAAGCAATGGTTTACAATGAGTTACAAAAATGCAGCAAAGTGCCAGAAATGGGAGGCAGATCGACTTTTTTTTTTTTTTTTTTTTTTTTTTTTTTTACAGGAGCAGATAACAATTAGGACAAGGGGGAATAGTTTTAAACCAAGAGAGCAGATTTAGGTGAGATGTTAGGAGGAAACTTCTTACTCTGAGAGCAGTGAGGCAGTGGCACAGCTGCCTGGAGAAGCTGTGGTGCCCCATCCCTGCAGGTGCTCAAGACCAGGCTGGATGGGGCCCTGGGCAGCTGAGCTGGTGCTGGCAGCTCTGCCCACAGCACAGGGTTGGAGCTGGGTGGGCCTTGAGGTCCCTTCCGACCCAAACCATCCCATGGTTCTATTTAACTGGGACAAATTGCTATTATGGAAATAGTTAATAAAGCAAAGATTTTCCTTATAAAAATAAAAGTCTGCATCCAATTAAATTAAAACAAAACAAGTGGAATAGACTTGCATCAGAACACTCAAAGCACTGTAGTTTTTTTTTTTTTTTTCTTGTTTGGCAAAAGAGGTAAGAATTGCCTTTGGCTGCTTTGCAAACTGTGGTAACTGAGATTATTTCATTGTTCTGTGGTAGTCTGAGACACGCCTCAGATGTCTGCAAATGTCCATGAAAGGCTAAACTGTGACAACCCACTGGCCAGAAATGTCATCATCGTTTAAAGACAACAATGGATAAATACTTCAGGCATCACTGCTTAAGGGAAGGAATAATCCAGAAAATCCCTGATATATCAAAACAGCTGCTTATTTTTTAAGCAAATGCAGTTTACAACAGTGTCACAGCTTCAAAATACTGTTTCAAAATATTCTTTGATTTTAAACTGGAAACATTCCTCAAAAAAACTATCAAATATTCCTCCCCACCACCAAAATTACAGGCTTCTGGCATATTTTAACAAGTTGATGAGGTTTCCTCACTGCAAGCACTGGAATTTAAAAAGATGTCTTATATTCTGAACCATATTGTGTTTAAGCATTCCTCTCCCTTGGTGTCTTAAGCCGAATGTGTTCCTTTTAACGATGTAGAGAAAAGTGCCCACCTTCAGTTCACACTACCTCTAGCTGTTCAGTTTAGGGCCCTGGATGAGCTACTGGTAAAAAAAAATAAAAACTATCATCATAACTGATGAGCAAGAACTGCTGCCAATACAAGTTGCATGTACGACACAAAGAGCAATAAAATGAAAGCTTTGGAAGCTTCACTTTACAGAGTCAAAAGTCTCTACAGATAACAAGAATCCACCTTCACCTGAAATACATGAATTTCTGTAAAAACAAAGTTTGCAGTAAAAATGTAAGCAGAGATCATTTTAGTTTGGATCTCTAAAAACCAAAATAACAGCAAGAAAAAACTAGACAAGAAAAATACTATCATGTTATTTATACAATGTGGGTGTAACTGCACGATAAGCAAGAAATAAGTCTTATCTATCTATAGTTTCAACACCCTTTTCAGACAGCAACTAAGTGTAAGGCAGTTTCCACTTTACAGCAGCATCCATAAGATGTTCCTTGCTGCCCCAGCAGTGACAGACCTTGCTCAGCTGTCTTGCATCTTTACTACTGTCACAAGTAACATTAGGGGACTCAGTGTTTTTACTGGAATCTTACAAGAATCTGAATTTTACAGTTTGAAGGACATCCTGAACAAGCAGTTGTGCACTTGTAATTCATCTGTTCCCATATATATAAGGAATACATTTACAGACACACACACACACACACTCTAGAAAAACAATTACATAACTTGATATAGAAGAAGAGCACAACTCTAACACTGATTTAAGCTGAACTTCAAACCAAATGCTTTTAACAAGAGGTGAAGATTCATTAGAGCTTGGATTACACAGCATGAATAGCTAGAAACTTATGGCAGTACTTCTAAGTACTCTTTTGGTAGGTAAGAGGAACAGCATACACACATCTGTAAGCACATGGTATTACCCCAAACCGAACTTGGCTTACTTACAAGAAGTTTTCAGATCAAGTTAATTCCCAGAGTTGAAGCAATATGAAAAACACTGGATTTTTTACTTACTTTTTTAAAGTGAGTAGCTGATTGCACTTTTCTAACAGGCTGCATCAGGGCATCGCGTACAATGATGCTGATATCTGCACCAGAATAGCCATCGGTTCTTTTCCCAAGCTCCCGATAATCTGCTTCTGTTAGGAGATTTGGAGTTGACCCAAGGTGCAGTTTGAACATGGCAGCCCTGGCGTGGTCTTCAGGTAAAGGAATATAAATACGCTTCTCAAACCTGGTTTCAAAAAGATAAAAGCAAAACACTCCACAGACACTGGCTCACACAGGTGCACAATGGAAAGAAGTTTATGCAAATCAGCACATACTTTGGTCCTACATGAAACTGCTTCTTTCTAATGTTGTATTATAAATGTTTTCAAAATACATCTCAGATATTCTGCCTGTTCTCATTAATAATACTATAGCTATGATAAGCTAACATCTACAATTGAACAACTACTTCCTTTTTATGACAAAAAATCTCTTCAGATTGTAGTTTCTCCAGGTTCACTCCAGCAAAGTTTGTGCTTTAAAAGAAAATAACTGAAGGAAAAGGAGTCTTTTAGTGTTTAAGCATATCTGAACAATTTTCACACTCAAAAAAAGAGCTGCCTGATAAGACGTTCACACAACCAGTTTCTACAGAGAATGTTGTAGTTGGAAACAGATTTGAAGTCTTACTCTCAATATAGTTGTTGGTAGAAATGGTTAATAATTGCAGTGCTTCCTTTGAAGTATCTGTTCTCAAAGAGAGGACGACCTCCCACCAGGGAAGCAAGACCAACTCCAAGTTCTGTAGAACACTATTAACTTCCTATATGTAACAAAGCGAGCCAAAACCATGACAAATTAATTCTATTACTGCCATGCTCTACCAGCTCCTTTATGTTTTACAGACAAGAATGAAAGATAATCGTTCACACTGCAAAGAATGACTTGAAATTTTAAGTACCGTGTTCACTTCTTATACTTTTTATGAAACTACACTCCCACGGAATGGAAGCGACCTCTGGAGGCCACATGGTTTAAATTCTCCAGTCAAAGCATGGTCAAGTTGAATTAAGTACATGATAAAATGACACTGTCACCAAAAAGCAATGTTTCTTTAGCCTACAAAAATTACCATAATAAAGATTGTATTTTCATCACAACATAATCACATTTAGCACATAACTGCATTTGCCCTTTGCTGCTCTGTAGCTGGAAGATCCAGCTAATCTGATACAAATACAAATGTCATCCTATCACAGAAATGCAGCTGAAACATACACCAAAAGATCACACAAGTTGTGTGACCAGTATAGCAAAAATCACACTTCTGTGTTCCAAAAAATTCTGTGAAATTACTCAAGCTATTCAACAGTTTGCTACAGTTGAAAATGATGGCTCTGCCCTCTCTTACCCTTCTGACTTGCTTATGTGAGTATGGGGGGCAAGGTACAACCAGGAAACCAGTCAGCAAAGAAGCAGAATTTTTTTGCTTAGTTGAATGGAATTAGCTGACTAAGAAATCACATAAATTACAGGACAAACATAAGAGTGAACAATCCATTTCTTATGTGAAGGGGATATTTGACTCAGTCCATCTCATGAGCCATGTCTGCAAGGATCAAGCAAATCACTCACTCAGCAGCCTCACAATGAATCCTCACAATAGCTGCAAATTTCTGACCATAAACATAAATACATCAATCATAAGCCAACATACCTTCTCCTGATAGCAGAATCCAAAACCCAGGGTATGTTTGTTGCTCCCAAGACCAATATTCCTTCATTATCAACACCAACCCCTATACCAAGGAAGAAATAATTTCACCACTTAGAAAATAAAGAGACTGCCTGATAATATTTGAGAACATTTACAAAATGTAATGGAGTAAAGCTGCAGATCTTTTCACATGTAAGATATGTATTTCATGCATAGCTGAACTCCTCTGATTCTGAAAACTATTAAACTTACCTTGCATCTGGACTAAAAATTCTGTTTTAATCCGTCTAGCAGCCTCGCTTTCATTTTCACTTCTTGACCCACACAGTGAATCTATCTCATCAATGAAGATAATAGAGGGCTTGTTTTCTCTGGCAAGCTGGAACAGGTTTTTCACTAATCTTAAAAAAGGAAACAGCTGCAGTTACCTTAATGTGCAAACCAGCAAGAACACGTAACTTTGGATTATGATGCAGTGATTTTGTTAAGAAAAAGCTAAAAATAAAAAATAAAACGAATCCCACATAAGATATTAACAAAGCTACTCAGAGATACAACACCCTTTCAGCTCCAATAACTCTGCATTATGCTGAGATGCTGAGATACCACAGAATAAGGTAAATTCAGGCTTCCTGATCTTATTAACATATCGCATCATAACAAACAAACATGCAGAATGAATATTTCATGGTGGTCACCATTTCCAACCCATATATGCCCATCTTTTATGTCTTCAAGATTTTGTTTGAAAACAGAAAGTAGAAAAAAAACCTTCACACAGAGAAAGAAACATGTGTTATATGCAGGGCTACTGCAACAGATGAGCCAGAAGGGGACAAGAATCAAAGTATCCCAACACTTCAGACCACTTCACTGTACATCATACACATCAGAACTGGGTTCAGAAGGGCATTGATCACCACTGTGCTCCTGATACCTTTGTCTGAACTAGTTTTAAAAACAGTCTTGAGTACTGAAGAGCAGTCCAGCTGCTGCAGCACAACATACAGTGCATTATGGTACCTTCATCTGACACTGCTCTGAAGCACAGAAACATCTAATCTTTGCTTTAACAAGACACATGAACTTTCCTTCAAATTTAATTTCTTTAGAGTGTCCTGAAAAATTACTTTCTTCTTGGTAATATTTTCCTGGAACTCGGGAAACTCCAACTTACTTTTCACTCTCTCCCAACCACTTTGAGACCAGGTCAGAAGAAGATACTGAAAAGAAAGTGGAATTGTTTGCTTCTGTTGCAACAGCTTTTGCTAGATAAGACTTTCCTGTTCCTGGTGGTCCAAAAAGAAGAATCCCTCTCCAGGGTGTTCTCTTTCCTGCAAGAAAGAAATCAGCAATCATCAAAACACTGTATCAAGAGCAAATCTATCTTTCTCATGAAGCCTCCCTATTTTAAAGTTTTCTGTATGTACCTGAGAAACATCATGAACAGCTTAGCTTGAGCCTATGATGTATCAGCATAATGCTCTGCTCAGACTCTGCTCACACTACTCACTTCAACATTAGTATTTAGAACAGGAAATAAAAGCTGTAATACAGACCTGTGAACAAGTGTGGAAATTTAATGGGCAAGATCACTGCTTCTTTAAGTGCTTCTTTGGCACCTTCAAGGCCAGCAACATCACTCCATTTCACATTTGGTCGCTCCATAACAATGGCACCTATAAGAAAAGATAGTATAAATCAGTGAGGCACTGATCTTCCACTGATCGATACCATAAATTTGAAAAAAGAAATCTACACATATGTTTACATAAAATAAAAACACGCCATTTCCACACAAATTTGAACATCAAACAATGCTAGTCAAACGTATATCATTTCTACAGAGATTTGGCTTTTTTTTTTTTTTACTACAATAAACCATCAATAAGCAGAGAGTTGTTAGAAGTTCTACAATGTGCAAAGTTACTCTGTAACTGATCAGCAAACATGCCAACAGCAGTTACAGAAGAGTACACCTCCTAAAAGGAGATCAACAAGATGTACAACGTGATGAAGCACGCTCCCTAGAGTACATGGCACAGAAAAGCACAAACAAAAACCCTACTGTGAGCACTCATAAATTAAAAGTAGTAGAGACCAAGATCAATTTGTATTGCATCCAAACCAGAAGAGGCAAAGAAGTATCTAAGTAGCAGAAAATGTGAACAGCTTACAGAAGATGGATTACTGTGGAGAAAGTAAATATGTGCAATTTTTATTTCCCCAAATATATCGCCATTACAAAAAAAAACAAAAACACAGAATAATGGAAGGAAATTGAGGCCCAGGCTGGAGCCCCAGCACATGCAGCAATGCACGGTGAGGTCACCAACCAAGGGGTTGTGATGTCAACAATGGAGATCATTGTGACCTCACTAGCAAAACTCACTAGCCCTCCCTGTATAGATTTGGGCTCTGGCAGAGACCAGTGTGCACTCGTGCCTGGACTCCAGTTGAGCACAGCTGCGAGACTTGGAGCACCGAGCGACTTGGTTGCGTTGAGCTGTGGGGCTGCTGGCACCAGTTCTTGGTGCCCATCCCACAGCATCACCAGAGTTTCCCCCAGCCCTGCCTGCCTCAGGCAGCTGGGGCCGCACAGGGTGCGCTTGTAGCGGCAGAGGTGAGTGGTGAAGGACATCATGGCCCCTGCAGCAGCCAGGGGGGAACAGGGACCGGGAGGGTTTGCTGCTGAGGGACCGGGGCAGCCAGTGACCGTGGCCTCTCTCTCTCTCTTGCAGTTCATAACACCTTCTGCTTGCTGCAGCACCAGTGAGGGGAGCAGCTTCCCGACCTCAGCTCTCCC